CCAAACTCATCTTCACAAGAGGTGAGCTGCCCGAGACGTAAACCCATCACTCCACACTCAGACGCCCTCAGGCCTCCTATTGCTAAGAGCTATGTCCTTCATGCTCCTTAATGGGACGCCTGGGGCCCTCTACCCAGCCTGGCTCACAACCCAGGCTCAAGGCAGGCAACCTGGAGACTTCCAGCTCCTCCTCCTGGTTAAGCTGCTGCTCCCCACTCCTGGCCTCCTATGGGGAGCCTGTGAGAACATGATTCCAGGTGACCTCCAAGTTCCCACCTCCCAGGCTTCCATCTGCCTGTTTGGCCACCTCACCCTAGAAGGGTGCATCCAAGTCCTCCAGTCAACTATTCTAACCAAAAAGCAGTGGCTCCCATGAGCCTGGGGCCCTGAAATGCTCGGGGCAGGGAAATGGGGTAAAACAGAGGAGAGGTGCTGAGTCTGGGCTTTAGCAGCACAGACCTGGGTTTCACCACTTATTGCTTCATGTGGTTTTGGCCGCCTGGTGCCTCAGTTTCCCCAGGTGTAACATGGAGTGAACAGTAGTAGTTACCTCGAGGGGTCCTGCGATGATTAAGGAGATGACCATCATGAAGTGCTGACCTGCTGGGCACAGTATGCACGCCTATAATCCCAGCACCTCATGAGGTTAACAATTATTAAGAGCAGTCAGAGACTGGGCAGTCAGAGGCTGGAACATTCTGTGGCCAGGTTGCCTGAGGAGGGTCCTGCTCCCTGGAAACACAGAGTTTCAGAACACTCTGTGAAGCCTCTTTCCCAGGGATAATTACCGGCCTGTCCAAAGCCAGGTTGGAGCCCAACCACCCAAACAAATGTGCCTCCCCCTCCCCTGCCACCAGGCCCAGGCCAGAATAAGCGTCTTATGTCACTGATAACCACAGGCTGGGGCTGGAGCCATGTTGATCCAACCAACGGTGACCTCATTTCCTTAAGTTACAATCTCACGGTGACAGGAGGGGGCACTGACCCCACTGTAGCCACAAACCTGCCACGGAGGGCCAGCCACTCAGAAAAAGAGAACTGTGACCTTCGGTTCTTCCCAAACCTGCAGGGCTTCCTGGGGTCACAAGCTTCTGACAACTGGAAGACCCCAAAGATGCGATGCTTTCTCCTCTCGATTGCTTAGTAAGTCCTAGGGCTCACCCTGCAGAGGCCCTTCGGGCAATTCCTGCACCTTGGTAAGGAGGCAGCAGGGAGGGAAGCGGGCATTGGGGTCACTGTACCTTCATAGCTGGAGCCTCTGGCCTCAGCTCGGGACAGCCCTCTCTGTTCACCCCTGCCTCCCTCCCTCTCTCCAGCCGCTGACTTAGCACAGGGTTAGACTTCAGGCAAATGCTCAAAAAATGTCCCCTCATGTTTTTGTTTTGTTTTGCTTTGTTTTTGTTTGAGACATGGTCTCACTCTGTCTCCCAGGCTGGAATGCCATGGCGCCATCACGGCTCACTGCAGCCTGGATCTCCTGAGCTCAAGTGATCCTCCCACCTCAGCCTCCCAAGTAGCTGAGCCTACAGGTGTGTGCATCCATGGCCAGCTAATGTTTTTAAAATTTTTCTGCAGAGACAGGATCTCACTGTGTTGTCCAGGCTGGTCTTGAACTCCTGGGCTCAAGTGATCCTCTGGCTTTGGCTTTTCAAAGTGCTGGGATTACAGGTGTGAGTCACTGCACCTGGCCCCCTTCCTCCCCTCATCATCTAAGCTTTGTACCTCTCCAGGAACTCCGTGGGGTCAGAGCGTCCAGGCTGCCCCCGGGAGACAGGGAGAGGAAGTCCTGGCGCAGGGGAATGGGGAGCAGCGGGAACACACAGTGCTCATCAGAAAGCAGCAGCCCTGCCCTGGGGAGACTGCAAGAGTTGTCTGGGCTTGCTGGAAGGGCCCTTCCCCAGTGCTCCCAGGCATTGTGCGGGTGGGGCCGCACCTGCTCGAGCCTCAAGCTGTGACGTCAAAACTCACTTGAAGGCGGCCCATTGCCTCAGTGCCCCACCTCATGTGGGATGAGCTGGGAACGCGGCCCCACACGCTGTCAGCAGCAGGCAAGAGAGGCATCGTCTTAACTCAAAGCGGAAGAGGGGACGAGGAGTTCACATTCACTGAGTACTTACATGCCTAGTGCGGAGCGGCCTTAAAACCTCTTTAAAGTTAGACAGGAACTATGTAGGAAATGAATAAATGCACAAAGAGCTACAGACCTTGTGATATTAAAGTATATCCGGCACTATATTAAGTAGCTTTCAGCTAAATAATCTTGTTTGAGCCTCATAAAATATCCTGTGCCTGCAGCTGTCTCATTTTCTACCCGCTGCCCTGCTTTAGTCCTTGTCTTTGGAGCACTTGCCCCTGATTGATACAGTCTAGTCTTGTTTGCTTGCTGACTGTGGCCTCCACTGGCATTTTCAGCTCCTCCACGTGTGGAGCCACAAAGCAGTGAGTGAGCAGATCCAGCCCTGGGCTCCACGAGCTCATCATCAAGAAGTGAGTCCCAGGCCAGGCGCAGCGGCTCACGCCTGTAATCCCAGCACGTTGGGAGGCTGAGGCAGGTGGATCATCTGAGGTCAGGAGTTCAAGACCAGTCTGACCAACATGGTGAAACCCTGTCGCTACTAAAAATACAAAAATTAGCTGGACATGGTGGCACTCACCTGTAATTCCAGCTACTCAGGAGGCTGAAGTATGAGAATCTCTTGAACCCGGGAGGCAGAGGTTGCAGTGAGCTGAGATCATGCCACTGCACTACAGCCTGGGCGACAGAGCGAGACTCTGTCTCCAAAAAAGAAGTGAGTCCCAATTCTACCTGGCCCGTCTGCGTCCTACCTGCTCCATCTCCTACCCTGTCTGCTTGCTCGCTTTGTCCTGGCTGATTGGCCTTCTTCCTGCCTTTTACATGCACCAGGTAATCCCTGCCTCAGGCCCTTTGCACCTGCTGGTGCTCCTACCCAAAACACATAAAGCCACCTGCCGGTGCCTGGTCTCAGCAGATGACACATGTGTGCCTCTGTCACCTTGCTCAGAACATGACAGGCCTGCCAAGCCAAGCAGGTCCCCTCCTAGAGAGTGGGGTACAGCCTGCAGAGGCCACTGGGTGCCTGGCATACAACAGGTACCTCATCACATCAGCAAGTCTCAACCCCTTGCTGCTCTGCCTGCTTCCACCTCTGATTCGTGATAGGGTGATCGTGAGATGTCCAGTGACCAAGCTGTACAGAGGGGAAGATGCTTGACTTGGATGTGGTCATCTCCCATTGGAAGCCTGGGGCGAATAAAACCCCTTCTTCGAACACTGTGTGGCCACACAGTCATGTCTTGGGAAGCAGACCAACCTCTCCCAGAGCTGGAAGGGAGCTCAGACTCTGGTCTACTCTCCTTCATTTGGCTACCAATACTGAGACCCAGAGGGGTTTGGCAGCTTGCCTAGGGTCACACAGCAAAGTAGTAATTAAGCAGAGACCTGGCCCTGGGTCTCCCAATGCCTTAACCAGTACTCTTCCCACCATTGTAAAAGGTCCCCTGGGCTTTGGTGCCATCAGGGTTAAAACAGGATCAGAGTGACCAGGAAAGGCAAACTCTCCCATACCAGGGGAGGGCTGAAAGGTCTACCCAGAAGCAAGGCGAGACCAGCCCTCCCATCTCATAGGCCTCTCAGTGTGCTGGTCAAACACACGTGGGCTCAGGAGACAGGGAAGGCTGGGAGCCACCTCCTAACTATATGGCTGTGGGCAGGTCCTTCCACCTCTCTGGGCCTCAATTTCCGCTTTGTAAAGAGGGGGCAGCTCCCTCCTGGGGCTGTTTGAGAACTAAAGGTGGCAATGCTTGTATAATGAGAGTTGTCTTGGGCTAAGCAGCTATGTATTTAGTTTCCTATTGTCTTGTGGCTGAGTGGAGGCAAAGGAAACCAAGAAATCCCATTAGTGAAAAAGAAAATTCCAGTGCTGAGCAGGAGAGTGGGTGGCCAGGGCCCAGCTCTGTGATGACTTTCCGGGCTGTAAACACAGAAGCGAAGAGGCTTTGAAGCCTCAAGCCAGTGCCAAAGGCAGGAAGCTCCTGGGTCTAATTCCATCTCAGAGGGGTGTCCGATGAGGTCGTGACTGCATAATTCCAATGGCATTCTGTTACACACACCCCAGAGCGTTTACTGGGTTATCCAGACAACAGATAATTCTAGGAATCAGGGATGGATTAACTGCGTCACCCACTGCCAGGAAACCTGCACCGATTCCTCACCAAGTGTGGGCCTGAGAAATGGGAAGGGGGTTAGTCCAGGGGGCCGGGTGCTGATGTCAGCAACCTCGCCCCCTCCGGGAGGAAGCTGTATCCATTAGTTTCTCTGGACTCTTCAGCTCTCACATCAAATGACCCTCTGATGATTCAGAGGGAAAAAAGCCCACTGACCAAACAAAGGGATGGCAGAGATGAGCAAATTATTTCTGCTCTTCTGTGAACCCAGGAGAACCCCCACAGAACAGAACCAAAATGTTCTCTTCAGCTTTGACAAGGCAATATTCACTTTTGCTCTGACTTTATAGTCCTTTTAAGAAACAGAAGCACAACCGATGCCACAGACTTGGAGACAGAAGTTGGAAGGTTTGGAACTTTCTCTCCTTTTTAAGACCCCTCCCTCTCTCTCTTTTTTTTTTTTTTTGAGACAGTGTCTCGCTTTGTCACTCAGGCTGGACTGCAGTGGTGCAATCTTGGCTCACTGCAACCTCTGCCTCCCAGGGTCAAGCAATTCTCCTGCCTCAGCCTCCCCAGTAGCTGGGATTACAGGCACGTGCCACCACGCCCAGCTAATTTTTGTATTTTTAGTAGAGACAGGGTATCACCATGTTGGCCAGGCTGGTCTCGAACTCCTGACCTCAGGTGATCCGCCCGCCTCGGCCTCCCAAAGTGCTGGGATTACAGGTGTGAGCCACCTGGCCAAAGACCCCTCCCTCTTCTTGTCTGGGGTCCCAGAACATCCTGGAATGCCCCATCGGGGAAGTATGACTTACACTTCTGTCGTTATAAATCCGGTGAGCTCCGAGAGGAAGAGGAAGAGGATGAACAGGCAGCAGCAGATGGAGACTGGAAGAAACAACAGAAATGCAAACTGTTAAGGGTGGTGGGCACTGATGAAGGAAGACCAGCCTAGAGGAAAGAGGAAAGAGGCCCCAGGACAAGGGTGTGGGGACCTGTCCACAGACCTTCCAAAGCCCCTTCTGACTCGAGCCTCAATATGAAGCAGCCCCACCCCCTGCCTTCGGGGTGCTGGTCTGGCCTCCAGGTGTGGATCAACCTGCCAACATGAGCAAGCCTCCTGGGGTTGGCCCCGCTTCGTTCCAGGAGAGCTCTTTAGTGCAGAGACCAGCCAAAGGCAGAGGCTGCAAACCGGTGGCCCACAAACGTGTTCTGTTTGGCTCGAGTGATAACATATTTCACAATTTGGAGTCCACCTTGAACAATCAGCATATTTCACATAAAAGGCCAGCGTTCCGCCTTCTCCAGAAGAACATCTAACCCTTGTTCCCACAGAGGGTCTGAGCTCACGAGTTTGCCACAGGCCCCACCATTCCCTTCTGCCTTTCTGGTTCTGAGGCTGAGGCAGAGTCCATTGCTGTTTATCACCACCCTCTGTGGTGCCATCCATACTGTGCCCCTGTCCTTAGAAGGAGGAAAACGAGGCTATACACAGCGGTGCTTCCAGAGAAGAAATAATTCTTCATGGAAATGAAGAATGGCCCAATAGGTTTATTATTTCTTTATTTTTGAGACAGGGTCTTGCTCTGTCGCCCAGGCTGGAGTGCAGTGGCGCAATCTTGGCTCACTGCAACTTCCACCTCCTGGGTTTAAGCGATTCTTCTGCCTCAGCCTCCCGAGTAGCTGGGATTACAGGTGCCTGCCACGACACCCAGCTAATTTATTTATTTTTAGTAGAGATGGGGTTTCACCATGTTGGCCAGGCTGGTCTTGAACTCCTGTTCTCAAGTGAACCACCCACCTCAGCCTCCCAAAGTGCTGGGATTACAGGCATGAGCCACCGCACGCGGCCAGTCCAATATGTTTAAAATGCTGACAGTGTAGAACAGAATTCTGGGGTTGGCCATGTCAGCTGTTTTTCTCTCATCTGCCTAAGGACACTGAGGCTGGTGGACCCTGGAGCCACTCCTTGAGGCAGGACATAACAAGTGCCCCAGGGTCCGGCCCTCAACTCCACTCACCAGCCCCATCTCCTGACACTCCCCACAATGTCCAACCACCCAGCCATACCCAGCTGCATGCTACTCCCTAAACATGCCTTTCATTTCTGTTCCTTTGCTAGACTCATCATCCCTCCTCCTCCATGGTTATCCTCTCTGGTTGGTGAACTCCTACTCATCCTCCCAGGCCCGACTCAAATGTCCCTTTTGATGGGAAGCTTCCCCCACTCCCAGAGGTGGAGCTGGTCACTCTTTCCTCTGTGTTCCCAGCCTCTACTTGAACATGTTCCACATTTTATCGGTTATCTGTGGCTGTTTCCCCCACTAGATTCATATCCAGAAAGACAAATACTCTGGAGTTCCAGTGCCTGGCCTGGGGCTGGGGACATGGGAGGCACTAATAGGTATTGTGTACAGCAGAGAGTCAGCTCCCAGGATACAAAATGAGGGCTGAATACGCCCCACCTAACTTTATCCCAGAGGAGCTTAGTGGGCAAGGGCTCACATCCCAGTACCACGCTCACTGCTCACCTGCTGCATGGCCCTAAGTGAGCTACTTAACCTCTTTGTGCCTCCACTTCCTCGCCTGTAAATGGCAGCAATGGTACTGCCTGCCTTATAGGGCTGCTCTGAGGATCTCAGTAACCTAAGGATTGAGCTTGAAACAGAGCCCGGCAGGTAATAATTACTTGAGCATCAGCTCATGAGTAGGACTTCCATCAGGGAGATGTGGGAACGGTTTGGTGACCTGGGGAAAGTGATTTGACACATTGGTTGACCCTCAGTTTCCTGCAAAGAAGACTTCCCAGTGCCTCTTGCTAATTCTGCTGCATTCTCTGCAGCCTGCACCTGGACTGGCAGAGCCAGCATCACGGATGTGACAGCCAGTGATCTCTATTATTTTTCTTACTCCATATCTATTTATTTATTTTTATTTATCTATTTATTTATTTATTTTTGAGATGGAGTCTTGCTCTGTTGCCCAGGCTGGAGTGCAATGGTGCCATCTTGGCTGACTACAAGCTCCACCTCCTGGATTCACGCCATTCTTCTGCCTCAGCCTCCCGAGTAGCTGGGACTACAGGCACCCGCCACCTCGCCCGGCTAATTTTTGTATTTTTAGTAGAGATGGGGTTTCGCCGTGTTAGCCAGGATGGTCTCGATCTCCTGACCTTGTGATCTGCCCACCTCGGCCTCCCAAAGTGCTGGGATTATAGGCGTGAGCCACCGCACCTGGCCCATATCTATTTATGTATATCTATCTGCCCATCTACCTATATCTAAAACAAACAGTCATTGATCGACTGATCAATCTATCTTCAAAGCAAATAGCCATCTTTCTGTCTGTCTTCAAAACAAATAGCCAAAGATGCATTCCGAGGGAAAGGGGAAGAGAATGTTCGCTGGGTACCTACTATGTGCCCTGTCATGAGTGCATTAACAGATGTCCTGTCACCTCACACTCCCACCCACCTTGAGCGGGGCGGTGCCCATGTTAAGGGTGTGGAGGCACAGCGAGACAAGGAGGCTGGCCCAAGGTTTCACCGTGTGGGGGCAGGAGAGGCAGGACTGGAACCCACGTGGTTTTAGAGCCAACACCCTGAGAAAAGGAACCTCAAGAACTTAGGCTCCAAGTGAAGGGCAGGATGTCCCCAGACTGCTCACTGAGTCTCTCCAACCACCCTGAGACATGGGGGATACTAGAATTACTCCCAGTTTCTCCCAAACTTTGAAAAAGTTGTACTGGGGAAGCATTTAAAGGTTTTACTTTAAAAAAAAAAAAAAGGAGTTATCATCAGCACCATAAGACAGAGCGAGAAACAAACAAAAATTTTTAAATAAAAAAAGTTAACGATGCATATTATATATTTAAAAACAAATCCAGCTGTATAAAAAAGTGAGTCTGTCTCTCCTGATCTGCAGCCCCCGATTCCCTGTTACAGTTTCATGTGGCCATCCATGGACATTGAAACATATATATATATCCCCCTAAGTGAACAGCAGCGTTGAAACATATATCTATATCCCCCTAAGCGAACAGCAGCGTAATGGGCACACTCTTTTCCACCATGCTTTGCTCACTCAGCCATCTATTTCAAAACAGGTTCTACATCAGTTTACTGAGTGGCTGTGTTTTCTTTCATTTTCGAATGGCAGAGGGATTAATTTCAGATTGTCTTCTCCAGCTGCTGAACAAATCCACTGGAAGAGATCAGCTATCAATCCAAATTTCCTGGCTCCTGTTCTTCCCTTCCTCACCTGCAAACTGAGGCTATTAAACCTCTTGGAAAACTGAGCAGGCAAAACATCCTTGCTTTGGAAGCTTGCAACTTTCTGACCAGGATCATATAGGACCCGTATTTCAGAATCTTTTGCACCCTCCTCCCCCAAGCCCTGACAACTCATTGGATGCTGTAATGATGAACAGGCACAAAACAGGGAGTGTTGCTGGGCATGGTGGCTCACGCCTATAATCCCAGCACTTTGGGAGGCCAAGGCAGGTGGATAACTTGAAGTCAGGAGTTTGAGACCAGCCTGGCCAACACGGTGAAAACCCATCTCTACTAAAAATACAAAAATTAGCCAGGTGCGGTGGCAGGTGCCTGTAATCCCAACCACTTGGGAGGCTGAGACATGGGAACCACTTGAATCCGAGAGGCGGAGGTTGCAGTGAGCCACTGCACTTCAGGCTGGGCAACGAGAGCAAAATTCTGTCTCAAAAAAACAAAACAAAACAAAACAAAACAGGGAGTGTTCAAAAGTCGGTGCTGACTTGGCTTGGTCCAGGCCTCCTAGCTACTTTCTGTGCTCCATGCCTGTAGACGTGTCCCAGGGTTCTAATTCCATCCACACCAGAGCCGGGGGGATGTGGATGGAAAGGCCTCCTTCTGAGATCTGTGTGCTTTTTCAAGGCTCGGACTGAAGCCTGGTCAGCCCAGCAGGTGGACACAGTAAGTGCCAAGTCTGCTTGGCAGAGATTCAAGTGGTTCAAAGGTCCCAATCACACGCGTTCATGGCATGTGTTACCCTTACCCCAGCTAGAGGAGGAGGACAGAGACCAGATCTCAATGCCACTGTGGCCTCAGGGACTAGCACAGTGCCTGGCTCAGATAAGGTATAAAATAAATATTTGTTGAATGAATGAATGAAAAACACGACAGAAGGTAAGAACTCTTTCAGCCAGAAAGGCCTTCTGATAGTGAAGGCTTTTTTTGATGAAGGTTTTTCAGTCCATGTTTGGGCAGGCCTCTATGGCTCTCCGACTCCAGCCTTCTTCTGAAACTGACTCAGGCGTTGGAGAGTAGGAATGTGACCCCAGGAGAAGGCTTGCTGGTAGGAAACCTGGTACGGCCAGCCAAAGAGGGCACTGGACCTGAGACCCAAGGCTCCGAGAGGCCAAGGAATTTATCCAAGGTCACACAGTCACGTAAGTGGAGGAGTCAAAATTTAAACCCTGAGCTGTGAGTCTGCAATACCCTGATCTTTCCTTCAGTTATTAATAGCACCTATCACAAAGTAATGAAATGGTACGTGTCCGAGTCGGCCTGCCCTGCCCGGCCGTGTGCTCCTCAAGGACAAAGATGGAAGCCCATTCATCAGTACAGTCCCAGGGCTTGGCATGGCGCCTGGCCCAAGGACCTGGTTAATAAGTATTTGTGCACTAAATGGTAGCTAAGGGCTGGTTTCCTATGCCTCACGCCTTTCCTCTTGTGTAAGGAAATTTGCTGTCTCCTGTGCCGTGGCTGAAACTGTCTATCAGACTATCTGTGGCTGAAACTGTCTATCAGACTATGTCCCTGGAGGGCCCTTTGGCAGGACTTTGTAAGTTTCAAAACACTCATACTCTTTAACCCAGTAATTCCTCTTCTAGGGAAATTACCTTACAGAAATAACTGTACAAGGATACAAAAAGATATGGACAAGGATATCCAACAAACCAGAATGGGGAATGTCCACCCTCAGGGGCTGGCCACAGGCCCCGTAGGTCAGCCAGATAACAGAATGTGACACAGCTGGAAAGAAGAATGTGGTGGCTATTTATCCGCTGGCAGGAAAGGTGCCCAGGATGTATCAGCGGAAGAAAGGCAAGGGAAGAACAGTGTGCAGAGTATGCTCCTTTTTGTGTTTCAATCAGTGATATACGTATATCAAAGCCTAAATAGGCCAGGCGCAATGGCTCTCACCTGTAATCCCAGCACTTTGGGAGGCCAAAGCAGGTGGATCACTCGAGGTCAGGAGTTTGAGACCAGCCTGGCCAACATGGTGAAACCTCGTCTCTACTAAAAATACAAAAATTAGCTTGGCATGGTGGCAGGCGTCTGTAGTCCCAGCTACTTGGGGAGGCTGAGGCACAAGAATTGCTTGAACCCGGGAGGCAGAAGTTGCAGTGAACCGAGATCGCACCACTGCACTCCAGCCTGGGGACAGAGCGAGACTCCATCTCAAAAAAAAACAAACAAAAAAAAGCCTAAATATTTTTTTTAAAACTCTAGAAAAATAAATACACACCTGGCTGTTAAACATACCAGACAAGGGAGAGACTGCAAGATGGAGAAGAGGGAAGAAGATGGAGCCATTGGTGGACGGTAGGAATGGGGCAGGAAACCTCATTTGATTTTTTTGGATCAGGTTCATAAACTACCAAGTCTCTTTTCTCTCATGGTCCCCTCCATATCCTTTCCTCGGGGATCGAGGCACAGAGCTGCACAGCTTCTCAGGCCAGAGGCCCTCATGGGTTGCAGGCTCCAGGAGGACAGTGATAAGAAGGAGAGTCATCCGTGTACTGAGGGGTTAGCATGTGCCCTGCACAAGACATGTCCAGGGACACATTTAATCCCCAGATCAGGAAACTGAGGCTCAGAGGAGAGTGACTTTCCCAGTCATACTGCTGCTAAATGGGAGGATGAATGTTGCTCCGCCAGAACACAGAGTCTATGTGACATGCATCCTGCCATGTGGCTGTGCTGTCCCTTCCTCAGGGCTCTCTAAGGCATCTTGCAGCTTCAACAGGCCCAGCAGGATCCCCAAGGTCCTCCCGCAACTAAGAACGGCCTGAACCAGGAGAAATGGACTCCAGTATGACCGACTGCCCGGCCCAGGACCCTGCTCAGGCAGCAGGGCTGGGACCGTCAGCGGGGCAGGTCTCTCCCCCATACCAGGCACTGAGGGGCATGTGGGGTGCAAGGAGGCCCACCTGAGTATGAGTCATGGCTCCATATTTTGTGAGCTGTGAAATTTCACCTCACCTCTCTCAGCTCATTTTCTCATTGGGAAAATGAGGCGAAAGCATCTCCTGTTTTCAAGGTGGCTTTGGTTTGTTTTTAAAACTTTTTACTGTAGAATAATCATAGATGCAAAGGTAGTATAGACAGTTCCCATATGCCCTTCACTGGGCTTCCCCTTATGTTAGCATCTTACGTTTGTCAAAATGAAGAAATTAACATTAGTACAGTACCATGAACTCGGCTACGGACTTTATTTGGGCTTCACTAGTTTTCCCACAAACTCCTGATTTCTGTTTCAGGAACTGATCCGGGAGTCCACTTTGCAATTTCATCCTGGGTCCTTAGTCTCTCATCAGTGACAGTTCCTCGGTCTTTTGTGTTTTTCAAGACCTTGCCACTTTGGAAGAGTACTGGTCAAGTATCCTATAGAATGTCCCCTGACCTGGGATTGTGAGTTTTCTCATGATTAGACTGAACTGTGGTTTTTGGGGACGATCCCATGGAGGCAAGATGCCTCCATGCATCCTGTCAGGGGCTCATGATATGCACGTGGCTTATCACTGGTGATGCCAGCCTTCCTCACCTGGTTCCTCACTGGCACTTGCCACATGTCCTCAGTAAAGGCCTTATTTTTCCTTCCCACTCTCTATTCTTTGAAACAGAGTTACTAAGCCCACACGCAAGGAGAGGGGAATGAAACTCTATCACCTGGCTGGGAGAAAAGCTGCACACACGTTGAGTATCCCAAATCTGAAAATCCGAAATTCTAAGTGCTCCAAAATTTGAAACACTTTCAGTGCCAACGTGATGCTCACAGGAAATGCTCACTGGAGCATTTTGGATTTCAGGTTTTTGGATGTAGGATGCTCAACTGATAAGTAAAATGCAAATATTCTAAAATCTGAAATCCAAAATCTGAGACACTTGTCCTAAGCATTTTGGATAAGAGATACTCAACCTGTATATTTTGGAATTCTTCTGTAAGGATTTGTCTCTTCTCCCCCATTTATTGATATTAATTAGGACTCACAGAACTGCTTCTTCATTCTCTGGCTTCTAAGCCAATAATGTCATTATTTATTTTATTACTGTCACAGGCTGGCTTTCAAGTTGGCTCCTAGGTCCTGCTGACACCAGGTGCTCCAGGCTCCTCTTTCCTTACCCTGCCTAGCCCTGAAATCAGCCACTTCTCCAAGGAGCCGTGGTTCCTTTTATTGAAGAATGGTCTTCAGAACCCCAAATCTGGATGAGATCATGATTTTTTTTTTAATGGATAAAAACATGCTTTGGTGAACAACTCAAATCGTTTCTGAGGTATAAAGAGAAAAGTAAATCTCTCCCATCCCTGGGCCCGATTCCTCTCCCAGGGGCAGCTATTGGTTTTTTGGTTTTTGTTTTTTTTCTGAGACGGAGTCTCGCTCTTGTCACCCAGGCTGGAGTGCAATGGCGTGGTCTTGGTTCACTGCAACCTCCGCCTCCCTGGTTCAAGCAATTCTCCTGCCTTAGCCTCCCGAGTAGATGGGATTACAGGCATGTGCCACCAAGTCTGGCTAATTTTGTATTTTTAGTAGAGACAGAGTTTCAGCATGTTGGTCAGGCTGGTCTCAAACTCCTGATCTCAATTGATCCACCTGCCTTGGCCTCCCAAAGTGCTGGGATTACAGGCGTGAGCCACCACGCCCGGCCTGGCACCTACTCTTGACAATTTCTTTTGTGTCCTTCCAGATGGTGCCTATACCTTGCAGGGTTACAGTAAGGATAGAGATTAAGTGAAGAAATGTTTGAGGGGCTCCCGCAAGATACTCAGCATTTCTTCCCTCCCTCCCGTCTTTCCTTCTTTCCTCCCTGGCTCAGACGGTCTGCACAGAGAGAGCAGGCATGGGCAGTGGAGATGCGGCAGAGGGCATGGCCAGAGGATGGCTACTCACTAATGGCCCCGGTGTACGTTGGCTGTGTAAGGTCCTTGGGCACCTTCCTGTAGATGTCAAACCTGCGGAGAGCAAATGGAACAGGAGTGAGGTGGGCACAAAGGGTGGGTCTCAAGGCAGCAGGCAGTGGTGCTGGCTCATGTGCCACATGGTTCAGCAAACCATGGTTCTTCCCACCGTTTTTCTGCTCTTTCAGGACACTTTCTCCAAGATGCCTGGTGGGAGGCCTCTCTGATGGAATCCCTGCTCCCTGCAGCACCCTTAGATCACGTCCCCTTGTCATCTCTACTTCGTAACATTTTGTTTTTTTAACAGGGTCTCGCTCTGTCACCAAGGATGGAATGCAGTTGTGCAATCTTGGTTCACTGCAACCTCTGCCTCCTGGGCTCAAGTGAGTCTCATGTCTCCGCCTCCCAAGCAGCTGGGACTACGGGCATGCGCCACCATGCCTGGCTAATTTTTGTGTTTTTGGTAGAGACGGGGTTTTGCCATGTTGCCCAGGCTGGTCTCAAACTCCTGAGCTCAAGCAATCTGCCCACCTTGGCCTCCCAAAGTGCTGGGATTACAGGCGTGAGCCACCAGATGACCCTCCCACTCATCGGTGGATCTTCCATCAGAGTGTGACTTCCGCAAGGGCAGGGGCCTCGTTAGGTTTTGTCCCCTGCCACGTTCCCAAACCCTAGCATGGGCCTGGTGCATAGCAGGCACTGGATAATTAAGGAGTGAATGGAACCCCCGAGTCGGGGGTGACTCTGACGCTAGAGGAAGCAGGGAAACGCACAGCCCTGCTCGAGTTATGTGACGATGCTGCATTCTTGCTCCACGTCACCTCTCCTCCCCCTCTTCCTTTTCCTGCCTCCTCCTGTTTCCACTCCTGCTGCGCCCCCCTAGCTCCTGCTGTCTGCCTCATGGAGATTTTTCTTAAGAATGCTAAGGCATGAGGTTAACAGAAAGTCCTGCCAGGAGCCCACAGGCTCAGCATCAGCTCGTGATGGCTCTGGTTCCTGTCTTGTGTGGTTTCTGTCCCTCCCAGAAGCAGACAGATATCTTTCTTTCCTGTGGATCCCACCAGAGCTCAGGGAAATCGTGTGGTGTAGTGGGAGAATTCAGGGTTTTGGAATCAGACAGACACGGGTTTAATTCTGGCTCTGCTTTAACAGCAGCTATTTAAGAGTTAAGACCCTGGACTCAGACTACCCTGGTTCAAATCTCGGCTGGTCCTCTTGTTCACCGTGTGACCTTCAGCAAACGACTTCACCTCTCTGAGCCTTTGTATTTATGGGACCATTACCACTAGACCCTGCGAGGCCACGGACAGGGTGAGGGAAAGAAGTGTCTGTAAAGGATGTGACGCAGAGAGCTCGCAGGGGAGGCTCCCCACGCACTTGGCTTCCTTTCCTTCACTTGAACCTGTGCGGCAGTCAGTTCTCCCACAGCAGAGTTTGATCGACGGAACCCTCCTCAGTCCACACGGCATTCTCAGCTCTCAGACAGAACTTGACTTGCTGGAGAGGCCAGGGGCTCCAGCCCTCGCGGGTGACAGGCTGGTGCGTGGTTCCTCTTTGGTGATTAGGAAACAAGAGTGTGCCTGGCTAAACCCGACGCAATGCCTTGGAAACCTTGCGTAAGGGCTGATGCTTGAATCAGTGTGCTCACCCTAATTACACGTGAAACAAGCTCAGTTTCCTAAGACCTCAGGGGAGAAAAATTCCTGCAGGCTGCCAAGTTAAAAGGTACCACTTTCTCTGCTGCCTGCTTAGCTCCCAGTCACCTGTGCTCGGGCCCCTGAGGGTACCAGAAGCTGGGGCTGGGGTGTGGTCAGGAGGTCGGGGGTCTCTGCAACTCACCTGTCCATACTTACTCACATCCCTTAGTCAGAAAGTGTGGGCCACTTTAACACAGAGAGTTGTGTGAGAGATAAGAGTACGTGCTGTGGAATCAGGTGCCTGGGCTCAACCATGACCACTACTGTGCCACTCTGGGTCCGTCACTCAAACTCTCTGTGCCTCAGTTTCTTTGTCTATAAAGTGGGGGCAACAACAGTAACTATCTCACAGCATGGTGGTGAGGCTCGAATGACTGAGCACATATAAAGTACTGAGGCGGAGCCTGGCACCCAGAAATGCCATGTGGATATTTGTGGTTACTATTATTATTAACGCTTGTTTGACTAACATTTACACAGCGCCTACTACTCACCCCCTCTTTTAGGCCCTCACGCAAGGAGATAAAAATCAACCCTTGGCCCAGTGAGTTTGTAGTTTAGCAGTAGAGGCAAAGAAACAGAAAGAGAAGGTAGTGGCATCCTCATCATGAGGTGGTGGATTAACTCAGGAGGGGGTACCTGACTTGGCCTGGGGTCCTCGGTGAAGCTTCCTACAGGGGGTGATGTGTGCACAGAGCAGGAGGAGGAGGTGGGTGGAGGGAAAGAGCAGCCTAGGCAAGGAGAGGAGCAGAAGCCAAAACACAGTAGGACCGAACCCAGGAAGCTGGGCACCGTCCTCTCTCCTGCATGGGGCACGGCCTGGCGTGGAGGGAGAGGAGGATGGAAAGCTGGGGCGGGGCTGGAGGAGAGGGTCCTTAGGGCCAGGCCGTGGCTGGGGAGTCTCACACCAAGTGTCGATGGGAGCTGGTGGGCAGTCTACTGTGGGAGACTATGAGAGGTCAGCAAATTTGGGAGGTGGGGGTGGGGAGAGGGAATGGAGAGAAAACAAACCAGCGGGTGGCCGTCACTGAGACCCCGCTGACGCCTGCCCCGCAGACATGCAGACTAGGAGGACAGATCTTCTGATTTTCCAAGAGAAGCCAAAAATAATGGAATTTGACGTGGAAGTTCACCATTCTCAAATGGTGGGCCCACATTCTATAGGACAAATGACACGTGTCTGCAGATGACATGAGGCCCGGGGCCTAGGCGGTGATCATTTGAGCAGAGAGGCCCCACAGAGCTAGAGAAGGATGTGGTCCGCTTCGTGTCACAGGAAGGCCAGCCCGGGCCAGTGGGGAGGGCACGTGGGTTCTCCTAAGAAGGCTGGAGAAATGAGTAGCAGGTAGCCAGGCAGCGGGGAAGGGCTGCAGCGGGAGGGTTCTCGTCCTCACTCCACCCCAACTTGGTCTTGGACCTGCAGAAAATCCCTGGCCCTTGCTGGGCCTCAGCTTCTCTGAGTATTAAATGAGGGGGTACACAGGGGATCTAAAAGTTCCCGTACAGATTAAAGCTGAATTGACAGCAGTGCCCTGGGGCTTGATACCCCAAGCGGCTAACAACCAGCTTTTGTCCAGGTCACCATCAGGGGCCGACAAGCAGAAACTGGGCCTCGCGATTTAAAAAATACAGAAACTGCTGTGCACAGTGGCTCACGCCTGTGATCCCAGCACTTTGGGAGGCTAAGGTGGGAAGACTGCTTGAGAATAAGAGTTTGAGACCAGCCTGGGCAGCATAGAGAGACCCTATCTCCACAAAAAAATGAACAAAATTAGCTGGGCATGCTGGTGCGCGCCTGTAGTCCCAGCTAGTCGGGAGGCTGAGGTGGGAGGATCACTTGAGCCTGGGAGGTTGAGGCGGCAGTGAGCTGAGATGGTGCCACTGTACTCCAGCCTGGGTGACAGAGTGAGACTCTATCTCAAAACATAAAATAATAAAAATTAAAAAATAAAAAATATAAGAACCATTGTTTCAAAACTGGAAGTCAGAGGCTGCTCTGGGTGAGGAGGCAGCGGTGGCTCGGGGCAGGGTGTCTAAGCTCAGTCAGGGTGAGGAAGAGACAGGAGATTGTTACATACAGAGAGACTGGTCAAACATGTACGTGTACAAGGATAGTGGGGCCAGGTGCCTCACTGTCAGGGAAGGGGGGTGAAAACATGGTATTAGAGTGGTAATGGAAATATCAGTATGAATTAATCATTTTCAATATACCCAAACACTGAAATATGCACATGCATATATACATATCATATATACATACATTTCCTCGCTCTTTCCATAGAGAAGATCCAGCAACAGCAACAGCCCAATAGCAGTGAGTGTAACGAGCACCCAAATCTTGGCTTCTAATCACTATTCTCTACTTAAAGGAGTCAGAGCTCCTTGGAATGGCTGATTCTAGGCTGGGCAGGAAAAATACAAGATGGGCCTGCAGCACCTTCTTATGTCAGAAACCAAGAAAGTGTTCAAAGAATGAAAAGGACATGTCAAAAGGACAACAAGAGGCCAGACACAGTCAATGGCTCATGCTTGTAATTCCAGCAGTTTGGGAGGCCCAGGCAGGGGGATCGCTTGAGGGCAGGAGTTCAAGAAAAGCCTGGGCAACATAACAAGACCTCATCTCTACAAACAACAACAGCAACAACAAAGACAACAACAACAAAAGTTGGGCGTGGTGGTGGCGCCTCTAGTCCTAGCTTGTCAAGAGGCTGAGGTGGGAGGACCACTTGAATCTAGGAGTTTAATGCTATGGTGAGCACTGCACTCCAGCCTGGGCTACAGGGTGAGGCCCTGTCTTTAAAAAAAAAAAGAAAAAAAAAGCTCGAGGGGGTTCCCACTGGCCAAAGAATAGACAATGTGAGCATCAAAATAAATAACAATCATCACAGATTATAAGCCATTGGATAAAACAGAAAGGCAGGAATCTACATAGATAGAAATAAAGAAATGAACAAATCAGAAGTTTGATAAAGAATAGGATATTGACATACCTTCAAAGCACTTCCCCAGAAAATGCTTATTAATTACAAAATGGAAAGAGTGACTGTGCAGTAGAGAAACTCGGCAGACATCATCTTTTTGGTGGGGGCTGGAGGGACAGAGTCTCACTGTCGCCTAGGCTGGAGTGCAGTGACGTGATGACACACTGCAGCTTCAATCTCCCAGGGCTCAGGCGATCCTCCCACCTCAGCCTCCCGAGTAGCTGGGACTACAGGGACGCGCCACAATGCCTGGCTAATTTTTTAATTTTTTTGTAGAGATGCGGTTTTGCAATGTTGCCCAGGCTGGTCTTCAACTACAGGGCCCAAGCGATCTGCCTGCCTCGGCCTCCCAAAGTATTAGGATTACAGGCATGAG